TGGTGTCAACGCTTTCCTACCTTGTGTTATTATATGAGTAGTAGGGAAATTTACCGGCGACTGACTAACTATGCCGATCCCACTTTAGGTCATTTTTTATTAGCCAAGAAACGTTCCGAGCGTCTGTGTTATTGCCCGGACGTTTGTGATGCCCATCATGACTGGTGTTATTGCCAGGACGTTTGTAATACCCATCATGACTGGTGTTATTGCCTGGACGTTTGTGATGCCCATCATGACTGGTGTTATTGCCCGGACGTTTGTGATGCCCATCATAACTTGCAGTATCGCCTAAGGCACGGTTACTAAAAAAAAGGTGCATCACCACAATCATTTATTAACATACAGAATACAAATGTTGTTATAACGAATTGTGTCTCTAAATAAAGGGACTAATTGGCTATGTTCCATCCCATTAACGTTCTTTAGTCCGCCCAGGTTGCTTGTAATGCCCACGACGAGTTGTGTATAACACATAGCTAGCATCGACACCATATGACAGCCGCCCCACTGAGTGACAGCCAGCTGGGTTCGTTCACGATCTTTTTAATAGTTGTAATTCTGTTTTACCCCCAATCAATTGAACAAATGGACAATGGAAGTGTGACAAACTACCCTCCTATCTCCCACCTGGCTCACGTTGAGTGTTCAGACGCCAAGAAAGAACTCGTCGCAGGGTACAATCTGTGTACATTGCTGGAGAAGAAACATTAACATTTGTTTAAAAAATAGTAGAATTTTCAAATATCGTCTTTCATTTTAAATATAAAATATACCACTCCTGTCGCAGTTTAACGATTTTCACCATGTCTCTCATTCTACTTTTCCCTCACCTTACGCGCACCCAAGATATGGTGTTGATCTAGATGTGCACATCACATGGTATGATGTGCTGGACGTGCACGTCACAGGGTAAGATGTGCTAGACGTGCACGTTATTATCAATAATGTCGGTTGTAGTAGTTGTTCGGAGAGTGTAACTTAGACAATACATGTTTTATTTTATCCGAATGTCTTACTTGGACGAATATTGAGTAACGGTAAAAATGTAATTCATACCAGATTTTGCGTAAATGAAGTTTCTGCAATGTTGCATGACGGTTCTCAAAACTTGCTGAGCGAGAAATGTATGGTTCAGTTGTTCTGTACGTGAGATGACATCACACATGCGACCGCCTCTATCACTGCTTATGGTGATATGCATTGTCTACTTTATTGGACCATTTAAAAGACGGTTGCGTTCTTACTACAACCACTACAATATATAGCTATGAATATAACAATACTGTGCCACCGTTATGAGATTGCGGTGGTATTGTCTACGGTGACCACACACGCCTACTAACGATAACCACCCGAATCAAAACAAACTGCATGTTCACGTTAGAGTTAGTCCGTATTGACCTTACTCAGTGAAAAGAGAACTCAGTGCTGTGTTGGGAGATCTATTCACGCCAGTTTGTTTTCTTTGCCTACTTTAATCTCCATGCTTTCTGTATTTGTCTGGGCTTATTCTTATCACATTGCAAGCTATTTATCATCATAGTACGAACTTCACTATTTGAGCGCTCCCAGTCATGGGACGTCTGCGTCACAATTTTAGTTTTAGTTTTAGTTTCAATTTGAACATATGAATACATATAAATATTTTACAGAAGAAGCTAACTCAATTCGTTGTGTCTAAGCTGTTTAAATTTAGCTGGATAGATTCCTGTTTCGACTCATGCTGCTTTTGTCATTTTTGGTTCAACGCCAACGGTGTGTCCCTGTGGCGCATGTCTGCAATCAACTTTAAAATTTTCCCACCCCGATGTAGTGTGTCCGTTAATTATCCCTTTGTGTTGTTGTATAGAAGAGCTCCAGGAAAGTCGTTTCATCACGGACACGAACAAATCAAGGGACCACCCCTTGGTTTTCGACATTGGTTGAAGTAAGAGCGGACGGAGGCGATCGAAATAGCTTTTGTTTGCACCGTGAATCCTGAACGGGTCATTATCGAGGTGATTGACAGATGTTAAATTTGATTGGCACATAATTGAATTGCAATTTGTGTTCTGTCAATTGAAATAGGTGATTGGTTGTCCGCCCAACTTGACGTGTTCGATAGCGTAAATTGTGTGGACAAGTGCAAGTGCAAGTCTGTCAGCAAAGCATTATTATAAGTGGATGAGGTGCATGCCACCAAACAGTACAGATCAGACTGCTGGTGATCTGATAATCAGATTAAGACATCCAGGACGTTTGTGGGACAGTTGAAGTGGTATCCCCCCTGTAGTCTAATGGTATCGCACCATCATAGCACGAAGACATAACACACCACTGAAGTATACACAAGTTACGGTTGGCGTTGCTGTTCGTACGTCGCACATTCTACAATCATCACTCGCGTGACGTCTCATGAATTATCATCAGGCGTCTTGAACATTCACGTTTGGTCAGTTTGTGAAAGTACACGTGTGCAGTTATCACGATGATTATGGTTCCTTCCGCTCTTCGTGCCTGTTTTTTGGTGTGCGTTCTAGCACAAGTCGACATGAGCTGGACTTATGCCATGGACTTAAGTGGTCGAATTACGAAACCGATGTGCGTATCGATCCCAGCTGGTATGGGGTTATGTCAGAACATTGGTTACACACAGATGCGAATGCCGAACCTATTAGACCATGATAGCATGGGAGAGGTTCAGCAGCAAGCCGCTAGTTGGGTACCGTTAGTGCAAAAAGGATGTCATCCAGAAACGCGACTATTTCTGTGCTCGCTTTTTGCTCCCGTATGTCTAGACAGACCGATCTTTCCTTGTCGATCGCTTTGTGAAAAGGTCCGGGACTCATGTACCCCGGTTATGCTGGAGTATGGATTTCCCTGGCCAGAAATGCTTTACTGTGATAAACTGCCATTGGACAACGATCTCTGCATTGCGCCGCATATGAGCAACGGTTCGACGGAGACCAACGGAGGCGGTGGCGAGGTTGTCCCCGAGGGAGACAAAGAGGACGATAGCGAAGAAAAAGGTGAAATATTATATTATATTAGTGTAGCTTTTCATTTATAATGTATCATATAATTGCTTTCTATCACACTACATCCTAACTCCCCGAGCTGTTGTTGCTGAAAAATATATTGGCACCTCAGGCTGGTGCCCTTTAAATGTTTCTACCGGCCCACATTGTTAATATTATCGTGAATAACATGAATATATAAGTGTTTCGCCGAAGATCCATTATTAACCACGTCACAAAACATAGTTTTAAGTTTGATGTACCGGTTGTTTGGGGGATGTGCTACCCAGTGGGAATTACAAATGACGGAGATCCCCGCAAAAGAACTCGTCAAATTTCAACCCCCGTGAAATTATGCGATAAACACTCGTCGGGATGTGCGTGATTGATGTGGAAAGGGCACTTGTAGTCGGCAACTCTGATCATGCGCCCACACAAAGAATTCTTAGGAATTACATCTACATTGACAGTTTGTATACATCAGAAGCCGTGAACTTTAACCTCAAAGTGACTGAATCACATTGCAAACTCGTAGTTTTGTATGAAATATAGATGTCTAATATAATTGTCTGTACAGTGATGACTGTAATCTACTGGAATTTCTTGTATCCTCAGATGCATTTCTCATTAAAGGCGGTCCCTTTTATTCACATTTTCTACAAGTTCGCCATCGATCTATAATCCTTGCATAATATATGAGGCATGGAGTCCGGTTACCATCTGTTGTGATAAAATTGAACACGTTTTGTCACCATTAACAACCTCGTCAACACGGCGATGTCGTTGTTTGATTCCCCGTCTGTCCGGGAAGCAAGCCAAAAAGAAGACACAAACTTTTCTTAGAGCAACCGCATAAAACGGACACGTTTGTTAACTATCGTAAACCAGTTGATACAAATAGGAACGAGTTATAAATAATGTTGAGGTACCCCATGTAGGCATTGGCGCGAGTCAAAGCAAAGTACATGCAACTATTCCGAACTTGTGAGGAATGCGTTAGGTGAATTAGGACGCCAAATCCAATTGACATATTCCCAGCTAAATGGTGTGTTAAATGAACACTGCATTAATAAACGATAAACGCCCACTCTTTTATTGGTTTTTAATTGGAGTCGCGCTGTTTTTTAAGTTCCTATTGTTTTCAAGTCTCAACGCAGAATAACGTAATTGAATTACATGAATAGCGACATATTCACAGACTAAGTGTATAGGCATGATTGTCCCGTGAACGATGTAAGAGGGCGTGGCAATTGATAATCGGGGAATAACTTCTTTTCTTCTTTTCTAGGTGGAACATGTGAACAGTGTCATCAAGATGCATCACGAGACGTTCTTTTAGAACAATACTGCGAAGCAGATTTCGGTAAGAAGTCAAGTTGTTAACACTTTTTGTGTACAGTTGGATAGCACACACCAGAATTAGCAAAAACATTGAATTATCAACTTTCTTCTTATTCTAGTATATTTGTTATCGACATATTTCTCGACGCGGCTTGGGCTGGGGGCACCTATGTCAGTGACATACAGACGCCGGAGTGCACCACAGATATGTATACACATGTTCCAGAATGACTCATGTTCGTGGCGGTCTTTTCATATGCAGACCGTGCTGCGATGGCCTTTTAACCCTGAAAGCGATATGCATCAAGATTGCTCCGTGGTCTGATCGAGCAGACACGCGGGCAGACGTGCATGTCTGCTTTCGCCCAATTTTCGCCCAATGTATATTTCCCTTTTCAATTATCAAATTTCGTAAAACGTCTCTCCTCCCACTCGCGATTGTTGTTTGAACATTAAATAGCTCCGCATACTTCCTATACATATAATGAAGTAATGATCAATATCCTTTCAATATCCTTGAAGTAGTGGCAGCGCCGTGTGACCTGCCAAGAAAAATAACCCGGGAATTTGTAGAGCAAAGGGCAAATGCATTTTAATCAGTACAATAACGTTTCAAAATGGGTCCGCACTGCTGCAAAACACAGACATCCGTGACACAATTCACTTTCCGACATCTCGCTGTTGAATGTTGACATTGAAAATACGGGACGTCTAAGAAAAGTTTACAGTTTGCTAACATCTCCATGCAATTTCAGAAAATTATAAATATGTCAATGATAATCGCTGAATAGACATGCGCAATGAAAAGGAGTACCATAAACAAGACACTTAGACACGTTGATTTGAATTCTTGTACAGAATAATACTATACGCAAAGGACTTCGCCGAACAAGGCTTTTTTTGTCGCCCACTTGTTATTTATACTCTGTACCAGTCATGGGAGCGTCACTCACTGAAAACTCGTCTCTTTTTATTACCATTATGTCACTGTCCTTCTTTTGAAGCGTCTTTCAGTGGAATCCTTGAGGTATACACGATGGATTACTTAAAGTAAAACCAACAGCTCTTTTAACGAAAGCGCGGGAAGGAGATAAAAATGGTCATGAAAAAAACGCTTGAATGCCGTCAATAAGACCGACAATCATGTGGGATCTTTTTTTGTGTGCGATTATTTTCTTTGCGAAAATCTGCAACTCTCTCACTGGCGAAGAATGCTTTTGCGTTCCTCTTGTCCTGTTCACACAATGTAGTGGCACCCAGAGTAAAGACAACATTCAGGACGGAACTTTGGAAGTGAAATTCTTCGTGTAAGCGTGAGTGAATATTGGTGGTCGACCCATTAAAAGTGTTCCGAGTTTCAAAACAGTAGACATCATTGTCTTCCACAAGACCACCCGTGTACGTAAAAACACGACTGACTACCACCACCATTACTATATATCGGGTCTATCAGCGAATATCACGTGACATTATTTAACTTGTACTTTCTCGTCCCATTTCAGTTGTTAAAACCAGAATAACAGAGTCGAAGAAAACTCGGGGAGACATGAAGTTTGTGAGTAACAAAAAAAAGCGAAAATTCTACAACAAAGGCGGATTAAAGAAGAAAGATATGCAGGAGATGTCATTGTATGTCGAAGATGGAGGGCGCTGTAACTGTGACGTCATAGAGCCAGGCAAAGTCACCTATCTTATCATGGGAAAGCAAATGGACAAAAAACTTGTCATCACATTCGCCATGCCCTGGAAAAAATCACGTGATTTCCGGCGAGCAACCCGCATGTTTAAAGGACTGCAGTGCGATGATTCCAGAAAACGACTTTAACTTGCAATAAAAGTATCAACTTTCTTTGTCACTTAGAAAGCTCTTTGAAAAGGACTTACGTATACCGACGTATTATGACGTCATGTGTATAAACGATTATAATGTTTACTCAACAATGTGCCTACAATTCACGCGTACAAACTTGTTAATATTTTAAGTTCACAGGCATATCACCAATATATGCCTATAATGGGCATGTGTTTTTGACTATTCACTACTATCACATTATCACAGAATGTCGACAAACTGATGTTTGATTTCCGAACATTATATCTGAAATATAGTATATGGAGGGCCTATAAGCTCATGACATTATGGCGATTCCACAGTCAGAGTAAAGAACGATCTATTCCAAATTTAAAGAGGCTTAAAATCACATCGCCTGAGGGCAGGCTTTTCTTCCAGGCGAATCATAAACAAATAAAACGCTGGCTTGAAACGAGCAAATGTAGACGTCACTGACTGTAAACAGTTTGTTTTTATCACGTTTGTCTTTAAAGAAAATTATAGTATATTCTGATATAAATATTTATTAATTGTTTATTTTTCGACAAGATTCGTTGTCATAGAAGCGTAGGTTTCTAGATTCTCATCTGTAAATTACTTTGCATTCTATAGAGCAATCTATAGATGCCCATTTGTTTTCCTTTCCAACATATTGCTTGTTCTCTTTTACGATTGGTCCATTTTATGTCGTGGTACAAAAGTTTGTTTTGTACGTTCATGACTATCATGTTTGATTGTAATATATTATTACGAGTACATGTACTTGTTTTAAAGAGAAATATTGTAGTTGAAATATTATGACATTAAACACACCACTTTTCATTACCACAGTAAATGTCGAACTAACCGATACTTTGCATTGTCCGTCCGTGCGTGTATGTATGCGTGCAATTCATACATATGTACATGCATTTTTTCATGATCTAATTCAAGATGGCCGAATGGCGGCCATTTTAGTTTTTAAATTCATCAAATCAAGAATTTCTGCCATTCTGTAACCGGATCTCAGTCATGCATGGACATATTTCATTCAAAATTTGAATGCCATTTGAACATATTAATGGGTCTGTAAACTAAGAACAGACTTCTCAAAGTAGAGTGAACCAAGTGAGTATTGGTCACCAAATCCGGGAGGAGAATAACGCACTGGAGAGGAGCACTTGTAGCCAAGGTGTTTATTGCTCAACTGCTAGGCCTGGAACTTATCCTAAATACTCACGAGATGTTCCATACAATGTATTAATATCATTATGCAAATAACTTAACTAAACGTCATAGCCTCAAATCATCACAGGGTCCTTGATGCACGTCATTCTCAGATCTACTGAAATGACCGAATGGCAGGCCATTTTGTTTTAACAAATGCAGTTCCGGGGTCACATCTTTGACATACATGTATTTTTCCCGACTGTCACTTCAAACCTTACACACACACTTCACACATCATATCATACATAAGCACATATATTTGTTTCATGTTCATAATTCAATTTAAGATGGCCAAATGGCGGTCATTTTCATCAAATATAAAAATAATAGATCTCTGGTGCATTTGGAGCCAAACTTTGTTCAAACTTTAACATAATGCACCTGTTTTAAGATCTGATTCAAGATGACTGATCGTCATTTTCATGCCAGAAATACATTATGAATGTCATGGGCAGAATAGAGGAAGGAATTGCACACATAAATAAATGTCTGTCACGTGAGTGTAAATAATGATTTGGCACTAATATTGGCAGTCACTAAAAACGGACGGTGACTTGTCATTGACAATGTCTAAGTTGTTTTTTAAGTAACTTAGCAAAACTGGGAGCAATACTTCAAATAACAATTTAAAATGATAACAACGATTACTCACATGGTTCAATGACATTAACACTCAATAATGACGAATGAAAGTTTATTTTGAAAAAAATATCGCTAAGCGGGGTAATACGTTGAAAACCACCAGTTTTGAAAACCAATTTGACCAGAAACACTTGCCAGACCTAGCTCGGCATGTCATTTGTCAGCTCGTTGTTCCGTAAAATCAGGATGTCGACACTGGAGTTTGCCGGGAGTTTGTTCATGTGATAAACAGGTTATCACGTGGCATTATTATATTATTGTTTTTCGATTCTGGATAATAATGGCCCATGATGTCACTCAGGTATTGTAAACTCATAGTAGCGTGTAACATAGAAGTGAATAAGAGTGAATACACGGCAAGGTTAATATGTCAAATCAGAGTAAACATATGCATGTATGTCATGCTCGACTCAACGTACGCTCACGTCCAGCCCGGGTGCTTCCCCGGAATATTTAGGAGGCACTAAATTGGTTCCCAGTTTTCTAGTCGTCGCGCCAAGCATGCGCGAGATATATGGGTATCATATAGACAAAGATGGCTACTTTGACTGTTGCGCAGATCAACGAGTACAAACTGAGACGTTATTAAGCTTTAATTAAATATTATTTAGGTGATTAGAAGGTATCGAAAGAGTTACCGGCTGTAATTAGTGCAAGTCGCACCCAGGTCAAACCTCATACTTGTAATTTCCATTAGAAAAGCGCATTGGATTATGGGAAAATTAATGTTTATCAACGCACATGCGCGACACGACGACTATCACCCTCTAAGCAATGTCCTATTTACTTGTAAATAAAAAGCCTTTTATGCTAAAATTAAAGTCACCTTTTGGCCCCTATCGACGAAGTGTGAGACGTGGACTTGTTTTGGGTGCGTCAGTGTAGTGTTATTTCTCGGACATGCCTACAAGTAGACCGATTTCACTAAAACTTGGTGATAACATTAATCATAACGAGTTACTGATGCACGTCAGTTTGTTTCGTGATTTGATTTGTTTCGAAGTGGCCGTATCCATTTTTCGGATATGCGTTAACCAATTTTGTTGTAAGTAGGTACATCTTGATTAAAAAGGAACTGGCCATCAATTTTATCTATTTAAGGTGTTTGGGCGTATTTTGGTTAATCATTTATATTCACATTTAAAATCTGCTATTGCGGACGAGCAACATGGCTTATTCAAACAAGATCATGTGCTCTTTATCTTGCTACTATAAACAGTAGGGTGAGTTGTATGTTATGTATACTGATTTTAGCAAATCTTTCGATATGATTGACTACCTTCAATTATACTTTTGTGGTTTACATCATGACTTGTTATCTTTGCTTAGAAGCTTTCTTTCAAACATAAAACAATGTTTTATACTCAATGGCACTTCTTCTTCATGGAGCAGAGTAACATCTGGCGTGCCCCAAAGATCAATTCTATAGCCTTTTTTTCTCCATGCATACATAGGCAAATTTACCCAAACTTGGTATGAAAGTCACACATGGTGGGTTACTGATGCACATGAGTTTGTTTTGCGATTTAATTTTAACTAGTCGACTTGGCGACTTGGTTTTATTTTCACATGTTTTTAACCACTTTTCAGACATGTCTTTTGTATGAACAACAAACACGATGTTTTGTTTTGTTATTTTATTCAAAATGTTCAACTGGTTTATGTGTGGATTATACAATTTGTTTGCGGTATGATCTCATTTCTTGGAGGTGTAATTTTGAAGTAACACCATATTTTTACATGCTGAATACTTCCCAATATTTGATTATGATGTATCTTTTATTGTTTAAAATTGACAAAGTCACTTAAAACTGTTTTTGTGAAACAATACAAATTGACAGAAATCGACATACGTTTTTAATACGATTTACCCCTTAACAACTTGATCTACAATTATATCCAATGGATTAAACTTTGAAATGTGAACAATAAAAATGTTATACTAAGGTGGTTGTAAATTTTGGAATTATCGATAAGACTCACAGTGTTTGAAATTATCACCAAGTTTACTGCCGGGAAGTTTTGTATTGTCGTCTTTATGCTGTCTGCCTAAATTCCGAGCAGCGAGATATGACGTTTTGTTGTGGAATGTGTACATTTCCTCACAATATGCATCTATATAACATTTCACCTGGACACAATATTGAAACATAATTTCAGGGAAGCCTTGCAAAAAACACATTGATTTGAAGATGACAAATCAAAACTCATATTTTTCTTACGGATCCAACAGTTTCTTGGCAACTCTTATGTAAGAATGATTGTGTGTGTTAAATATTGGACAACACTGATAAATATGCCTCCACATCGAAAAATATGTTTCGCCATGTATATGTGCGGAGGCTGTATTTTGTATGATAATAACACGTGACTAACCATCCTGACCAGACAATCAGCTTTAACCCAAAGCATGCGCACTACGCATGACTAATGCAAGCACTATACCTGCGGTTAAATGGGGTCACTCTCCAAATACAATACTTCTATTTTTAGTCGTGAAGACCTAATCCAGCGCTAATATTTTTACATTTGCGTGTATGTTTTCCTTGTGAGTGCAGACAATTCTTCTAATACACCGTACATACAAGCAGAAGAAGGTGGTTAATATATTTGCAAAGCCAGTAAAAACAGTTGACATTGAATCATCAAGGTAAACTTGCGTTAATACTACTTAAAAACTTTGCATGACGGGGGGAGGGTCTTATGTCAACAAAGTGTGACTTTGACTGTTGCGCAGAACAACGAATACAAACTGGAATGTTACTAAGCTTCAAATAAGTAATTTTATTGGTGATTGGAAGGTAACGAAACATTTTTTTCATTAGAAGAATGCATTGGATTGTAGGAAAATTTGTGTTTATTAACACAACTGTTTATTAGAACATGCACGTACGCGTACTCTGAAGGTAACCTTGATTAACCTTGATCCATTCTTAGTCTCGTGAGCCATTTTTTCTGCCAGAATTAACGATTTTTATGGCTTACAGTAATCGAAGATTTTTTGAGCTCTGTATTGTGATGACATTGTTTATTGCATTTGAACGTTAAGTGCTGCGTGGCAGTGGCCTAGTGAGGTCAATAGTAGCCCTGGACCCATGTTGTTGTGTTAAGTGCTGCGTGGCAGTGGCCTAGTGAGGTCAATAGTAGCCCTGGACCCATGTCGTTGTGTTAAGTCTCAGACTAGTGTATTACTAGTCTAAGGTTAAGTGTTGCGTGGCAGTGGCCTAGTGAGATCAATAATAGCCCTGGACCCATGTCGTTGTGTTAAGTCTCAGACTAGTGTATTACTAGTCTGAGGTTAAGTGTTGCGTGGCAGTGGCCTAGTGAGGTCAATAGTAGCCCTGGACCCATGTCGTTGTGTTAAGTGCTGCGTGGCAGTGGCCTAGTGAGGTCAATAGTAGTAGTCGAGTGGATGATATTTACATCGGTCGCTTGTCTGCCCGCTCTAAAAACGCCATGGATCCTTCCATAGCATTTTGACATAAATTAACTAGGAGCAGAAGTGTACCTCTTTCTAGACTAAAACATGTCAGAACGAATGTATTGATTATGGAAAGCCATGACTGTCTTAAGTAGCAAGCTAGATTATCGTGATGCTCATTGGCATGTTATGATGTCCATTAAATATAACATGATGCCCATTCATCATATTATGATGTCCATTCACTATATTATGATGTCCACTTACCGTATTATGATGCCCATTCACTATATTGTGATGCCCATTCACTATATTGTGATGTTCATTTACCATATTATGATGCCCATTCACTATATTATGATGTCCACTTACCGTATTATGATGCCCATTCACTATATTGTGATGCCCATTCACTATATTGTGATGTTCATTTACCATATTATTATG